CACACACACACACAATCATACACAGAGCCTTCTTCGTTCTTCCTTCTGTTTTGGCGGAGTCCCAAAACGCTTCCCTGATGAACTCCTCCAGCAGCCCCAGAGGTCATGTTTCTACCAACCTCCTCCCCCAGCCAGAGAGAAAAGAGGACATATAAAATAGAATGAAACTAAATAGAAAACAGAATTACAAAATCAGTGTGTATGTGTGTGGAGCTAATGGCAGATGATGATAGGGGCATAGGAAGCAGTAAATCAGTGTAACTCAATCAGCTCTGTGGTTAACTATATCAGTCTTGTACCACAGTGCTGCAAGCATGTGTGTGTGTCTGTTTTTGTATGTGTGTTTTACCATGTCTTCTTCCTTCCTTTCTTTCTTTCTTTCTTTCTTTCTTTCTTTCTTTCTTTCTTTCTTTCTATTCATGTGCACTTTCTTTCTCCTACCCTCTGTGAGTGTGTGTGCCCACTTGCCAGCTATTTTAAAGTTGTATTATAGACTTTGAGTGTGTGTCTGCGGTTTCCTGTTCAATGTTTGCTTGTAAGAGAGATGGAGCTGTTCTATTTTAGCCTTGATGTGAAGCTCAGTCAGAAAGACCTAATGTCCCCTGCACCCACTGCTCGTCATCACACACTTCTCTCTCTCACACACACACATACAGTACTGTTAGAGGAGACTGAAATAGTGCTTGAAATAAGACCCAATCTGTGTGTCCAGTGATCAAAAGACCTTTTACAAAGCCATCACTATAAAGCAGCGTGTTCTTTAGCATGTTAACTTAATTACACATTTCAATTAGTTAATTAATGATTGGTCATTTATCTAAACACACTAGATGTAACAAACATTCCTTGACACCTGCTTCAGAGAACTGAAACCTGTTTTATTCCCAGTATGAACAAAGCAACAACATATGAGGATGTGACCCACTTGGAGATTTACTTACCTCAACATATTCTTTTATGAAATGTTTAAACTGTCAACTCCATTTTAGTTGGTTTTAAATTTAGTATTTCTACATTTTTAGGGTTCTACAGTTCTTAAATTTAATTTTAAATTTAAATTTAAACATTAAAGCCCCATTATGTAACTTGTCTACCTTAAAATAACAGAAAAATCTAAATCCTTTTGATGCTATACACTGACTTGAAGAAGGGTGAAGATCCCACAATCCCACATTGTGTCCTTTACTTCTGTTCTTCCACTATATAACTTTACAGTACACACTATGTTTTGCACCAGTAGTCACACCAGCAGTGACTGTCTATGTCACTGATTTTAGTGAAACTGGATCATATTTTACGGAGAAAGGGTTTTATTGTTTTCCATCTGATGTCATCCGGCTGCTCTGCCTTAACTCTCTGTGATTTACAATTTCCTGATGGACAGTAAAGTCAGTGCTTTTAAATGTAGCTGCTGTTAGCTTATTAGCTTAGCTGTACTGCCTGGACTGGGAGCTTAAAGCACAGAGGGAGGGTTGGTATATTTACACCGCCAGCAAAGGAGCTGTTGACTACTGGGAGGAGGAGGTTTTTACACCAGGGGCAAGGGAGAGCCAGTGGGGAATGCTCATGAGGAGTGTAGGAGGTGTCGTGCCAGAAGCTGGGCCTGGCAAGCGGGCAAAGGCCTTCATGCTGTTGGACTAGTAAGTAATATTAGCTGGCTTGCTATGTCTTGTGTTCTTGCAATTGCTTCATGTTTGGCTGTGTTAGCATAGTTTTTTGATATAAGTAATGTAATCATAACAATCACATTTTTATCAGGCGTGCCAAATCGCAACCACATTTTACATAAAGTTGCTTTAATTTTAACCTACAGTGGTTTATTTGTGTAAAACTATTTCTTTAGGTATGATAGCAGTCTTTTTCTTAACACATCTGAATTTTACATAAAATCTCGCCCTCACACACCTCCACACATTGGAGGTAGCTTAAAAAAAATAAAAAAATAATTTAGAAGTGTTTTCTTTTGCCTTGGGAAAACTGACCTCGAAGAGTCATGCCAAAGCATGTTGAGGTGAAAATTGGAGATAGGGGAAAGTGTGCAGGACAAGGGTGTTTCGGAGGTGTTGTAACACACTGTAAATCCCTGTATCTTTGTCTCTCAGGAGTTCTGAGCTCCTCCTTAGATTCCCTGCGGCCTTCTGCTGTGTGTGTGTGTGTTTCTGAAAAAAATCACACTAGATAATGAATGTGGTGTTTTACACGTTTGTGTGTTGTGCTAACATGTGCGTGTGTGTGTGTTAGCTAGGTGTGGCTGAGTGAAAATAAGTGTGTCCCCTCTGAGACACATGCAGGGAGTTAGACAACTGCTTCTGTTTATCTGTCCGTCTGTCCTTTTAAATGCTGCTTGTTTCTGTTTGAGATCCAGACGCTCATGTAAATGACACTTATAAATATAATACAATTTGTTCAATAGTTATTAACAAATGTTACTGCTCAGTGGCAGGGTAACAACTTGATAAGTTCAATGCTGTTGCTGTCCCCCTTTACTTCAGGATTACGTTCTTATATTTCTTAAAATGTGTATGTAAAATTGATCATTTGGGTGCAGTCTTTTCTCTTATCTTTTTTCTCGTACATAAATCTCTTTCTCTCTCTCTTTGCCCCCTTTCCTTAGCTTTTTTCTTTTTCTTTCACACTTTTCTTTGTCTGAAAAATAAATAGAGGTTGGATTGGCAACCAACCAGCTTTTCCACCAACAGTAACTTTGACTAATTTTTGTTGATGAATAGTTATACCCCCTACCACCCCAACCACATAAACAAAAAAACATAAATAAAAAAAGTGTGCATGTTGTTTCCTGTTCATAAAGCTTCATTAATATTTTGTTAACACTAAATTCAATGACTATATGTATTATATTATGGGAGTGGTTTCTCGTGATCCCACAAGTATCCCCCAACTCTGCAACTCTTTATAGGTTTTCATCTTAATCTACTGTCTTCACCAGAAAAAAGGAAAAACTTGTGGTCTAGCAAATAATGACATTATTATAGGTCTGCAAAACCTCTTAAGGAGACTGCTGTTTGCATCCCTTTTTTCTAAATTCTGTTCCTTAGGAAATTACATTTACACACAACTAATGTGCAACAACAAATATGTAATACCAGAGTGCATTTTCTATGGACATAATGAGAAAATGTTAATAAATGTATCTGGAAAATCACAAAATGTTGACACAGAATGTATCAGCAAAAATGTTTCTATCAAAATATTTGATCTTGGAATACAACATCTTCTTGGTGATTACTGCATTATTAAACTTTTTTATGAACAAAGTTAGGTAAAGGTAATGGTTTGGTTTAATACAGAAAAAGTGGGTGTGTCAAAGTCCTGCACTGTACATCCACCCACACCACCTCTCTGCGCCTCTGAAGCAGTAGGTAAATGTTTCACTTAAAAAAATATTGCCTCTGAACATAATCCAGCCAATGATTACATTTATCACCACAATGTAACAATTATATGAACCTAATTTCTATGTGACAGCTTTCCCTACCATCTTCCAACATTGGTTTATTTTAACAGTGACCACAATCATTCCCCAACCTCAACCAAGTAGTTTTTGTGGCTTAACCTTAACACACAGTTATCATGATAGAGATGAAAGTAGATACACACAGGTCATGAGAAAGGGAGGACCTCTGGCATGTATTCATGCACTGGTTGTGACGCTCTACAGAGCTGGATACCGGACAACTCTAGCTACAACATAGAGCATATGGTCTCTGTGTGTGAGTGTGAGCATGTGTAAAGCTGGCACGTCCCTGCTCTTTACCACTGTGAGAGGCACTTGCCTGTGGAGTAAGAGAACTGTATAGATGCTGCATTCACAGGTGTGTGTGTGTGTGTGTGTTATGTGGATCTGATTTCTCAGCAAAAAGCAACTCACAAGATGAAGCCAAAAGTTAGACTTAACATTTCAAATAACATTTTAGATGAAATTTAACAGATCAGGTTTTATCAGATCGCATTACTGCAGGTTGAAGGAACTAGAGGTCATATGTCTCCCATTACTTTACAGTGTTGTTCCTGAGATTCAATTATTGAGCTTCCACCGTCACTCTTGACTTCTCTCTGTTATATTTAAAGCCCTCATCCTTGCTGTCTGGTGTTATCCTTTCTCATAAGCTTTCACTGGCTCACTGTTAAAATTGGTTTGAAACATCCTGACCTGCGTACACTTCCTGTCTTTGTTAGTGACACAGACAGTTGGTGTCATACAGTATGACATAGCAACAAGCTAATTATTCTTAACACCTCTGTTGCCATCACTCAATGAGGCTGCTGAACAGGAAATTTATTTGTAGAATCTTTATTTTGCCGAGAAGTAGCGTACTGTGTGTGCACCAGACATGACTGCTGCAAACCATGGTATAGGATGATCTATTGTACATGTTGTTAATGACAGTTGTCTATAATAACACCTCTGTAATTTTATAATCACGTAACTATATTACTTAATGCTTTCACTGACATCAATAATACCACTTTAAACTATGAATAAATTATCCATTTCTATGCTCTTTTTTTGTCTCTGTATGTTTTTTTTTCTTCACATTTGGTTTATTATACTATTCTTACTGTTGTCTTTGTTAAATGTTTTGTGTAAATTCTGTCATTGAGGAAACCCTTGAAAATGAGATGGTTATTATTCCTAATAAAGAATTTCGACACAAACTAAAAAACAAGAAGAAGAAGAAACGGCCTTTTCAGTATTTAGCTACAAATAGAGAATTCTAACTTTTTTAAACATGTTAACATAGTATATTACTACTGCACTGTAACAAGACAAAAACAAATGTGTGTGAGTAATTTGATGCTACTGCCTGATTAAGTACTAGGACTTTTTGTTTGACTAATATCAATGGAAATAAATCTCAGTGTTGCATTTTTGCATTTACAATTCAGGCAGACAAATATCTGAACAACTGAAGACAACATATTTCAGATAAAATCCTATTTAAAGGTTCATGTCCTGCTATTTAACTGTAAGCAGCCGCTTGCAGCAAACAAACTGATAAAGTCAAATGGTAGACAGAACATAAAGCAGTGAAGCATTTAGCAGCTAAAGACAAAGGATCAGTGGCGACAAAAAACAGCTAAATGAAGAGTTAATATTGGACTATTTTGCCCGGAAACACAAATCCAAATGATTGAATGCTAATATTGATGTGTCTCATGTTCACAATAAGCACCTTACAATGTCATAATATGCCAGTGTCGTGTTTACAACTGGTTGTGCTGCCAAGTGGCCAAATAAATCAGTTAATGCAGCTTTAAATGTTCTTAATCATGGGTATTGAAACAAATGTGACCAGAATTTAGCAGTGAAAAACCACCAGTTCTCATGACACGTCTTTCTAAACTTTATGCAACAGTTTACCTTTTCTTGCTCACTGATATTACAAAGCAAAGAGTGTGTGTGTCTGTGTTTGTGC